GTTGGTCTGGTTTACCCCACAAGTCCAAAGACATGCGGTATAGGTGAATTGGGTAAGCTAAATTGTCTGTAGTGTATGGGTGTTTTCCAGTAATGGGTTGCAACATGGGAGGGCATCCTCTGCGTAAAACTTATGCTGGATAAGTTGGCGGTTCATTCCGCTGTGGTGACCCCCGATTAATAAAGCGACTAAGCCGAAATGAAAATGAATGATTGAATGAATTTCACTTTAAACATAATTTACACATTGTTACTTTGAACCCATCATCTGATATTTGGCAGCTCCATCAAGGGTTCTGCATTGTGTTTTCTTTTTATTGTGGGAATAACCAGACAGGTATCAGCAGTTGTGACGGCTCTTTAATCACTCCTGATGTAAACAAAAGCACAGATTTTACAGTGTGTCTTCGCCCTCATCACTTTTACATGCTTCAATCAGACAAATATAAATCAAAACCTCAATTAAAGTGAAAACACAAAAATAACGAACTATGTGAAATATGTGAAAAAGAAAGTTATACATAATATTGAAATATAAAAACTGGCTTCAAAAGTCAAGTAAATATGATTTAAGCTAGAAGTCTGTTTACTAGCAGACTTCAAAAAGTTTATTTGTAAACAAAAATACAAAAATCATCTCAATTTCATGTCTATATTTTAAAAATATGCCTTAGACAGAAATATATTGAATTTAATTGAAAATATATCAAATTAAAAAATATATATAGAGAATAATTTTACTTTAAACATAAATGGCACATTATAATTTTTGGCCCCATCAGAAACAAAAGTAACACACGGGTAGGTCACAACCAGATTTACTGGCTTCATCATGTTTGTTTTAATTATATCTGACTATGACATTGTTAATTATTTTTTTAATACCACCTGATATTGACGGTTAAAAAGCTTCCAGTACAAAATGGCATTTTTATTGATAAATTAGTTATAGAGTATTATGCCAAATGCAATTTTAATCTAGAAAGTTTTGTTTAATAAAATAGAGGAGGGGGATATATTTAAGAAATTAGTAACACTTAAAAATAGTAAAGCAACAGGGTTAGATAATATTCCAGTGCAGTTCCCTCAAAGACTCCCTAAATGCGTCACTCCGATGGTTACTCATATTATCAATTTTTCTATTTGTCAAGGTAAAGTTGAAAAAAGCAAGAGTTATTCCTCTTTTTAAGAAAGGTAGTAGGTTTGAGGTTAATAATTCTAGGCTGGTTTCAATTTTGAGTGCTTTGTCAAAAGGGAGGGAAAAAGTTATTTATTAGCACATTGAAAAATATTGTTTAAAATGTGACGTATTGTGGAGTTTCAGTCGGGTTTTAGGAAAATCATTCCACTGATTCAACAGTTTCTTTTAATTAACAAATTATATAAAGAGCGATATGGATAAAGGAAGTTAAGTGGGATGGTTTTCTTAGACCTGCAAAAAGCTTTCAATACAGTCGATCACAGGATATTGATTTTAAAAGTAAAGGCAATGGGTTTTGGTGTTTTGGCCTGTAAATGCATGAAGTCTTACCTTGAAAACAGATGTCAAATAGTAGATTTAAATGGTGTGTTTTCAGATTATTCGACCGTTTCTTATGGGGTTTCACAATGCAGTGTTTTAGGTCCTTTGCTTTTTTAATATACATCAATGATTTGAAAATGGCCTGTTCAAAAAAGCTTTTGTTAAATGCGGATGATGCAGCAATAATTGTGTCTCATGAGAGGAAGGAATTTATTGAAAATGAAAAAAGTAAACAAACTGAGGAAGTCTCTTAATGGTTTAACCTTAATAAATTGTCCTTACACTTGTGTAAACCAGAATTTATTTTATTTGGTTCAACTGCGAAACTGCAAATATGTGTCAGATCAGAGGTAAAAGTAGAGCATCAAATTAATGAACCCAAACATGAAGGGAAATATTTAGGTTCCATTTCAGACAGTAATTTGACAGGTGAGAAGATGGCTGTTATAGTCCAATCAAAAGTTCTAAAATTAAGTTTTTAGCAAGACAGACAGAGCTCTTAGATTTCCAAACTTTACAAATATTGGCTAGTGCATTAGTGCAGTCATACTTTGACTATGCTGCAGTCTTTTGGTACAGCAGTAGTTCCACAAAAATGAAAAATAAATTGCAGACGGCCCAAAATAAGTTGCAGAATTGTTATCAAAGTACTTCCACTAACACATTTAAATAATGAATATTATAGTCAAACTAATTTATTAAAAGTTGGAAAAAGGGTCACTTTTCTGAAATTGGTGATGGTGTTTAAGATTTTAAAATATTTAATTATTAAGTTTTAGTTAGTGAGGTACACTGTCATTCTACAAGAGCGAGTAGCAGGGGTATTTGTCCTTGTAGAATTAATAGTGAAACAGGTAGAAAGTCTTTTCTGTGTACTGTTGCTTGGAATATACTGCCGAGGAGTTTTAAAGAGATTCAATTTGAGAGTTTTTAGAGAGGAAATTAAAAAATGGCTGTTTCACGGTTGAAGTTGAGGATTTTTGTTGTGCTGAGTTTCTGAGCTGATGATGTTTGCACTTTATGATTTGCTCGTTCATTTTTTAAGAATATCGATGACCACGATGGAAATCAGCCTGTGGCTTTATTGTGTATTTTATCCTCGACAGTTTTTAAGATATGAATGTCAAACTGGACTTGTTTGTATATTTTTGTTAAAATTGTTAAATAAAATCAATCAATCAATTTATTCATTCATTTTCCTTTAGCTTAGTCCCTTTATTAATCTGGGGTCGCCACAGCGGAATGAACTGCCAACTTATCCAGCATATGTTTTACACAGCAGATACCCTTCCAGCTGCAACCCAGTACTGGGAAATATCCATACACCCTCATTCACACACATACACTATGACTAATTTAGCTTATTCATTCACTTATATAGCACATGTCTTTGGAGCACCCAGAGGAAACCCACATGAACACGGAGAGAGCATGCAAACTCCACACAGAAATGCCAACTGACCCAGCCGGGACTCCCACCAGCGACCTTCCTACAGTGAGGCCATATATATAAAGAAATCTATTTGCTTAAGTCAGCTGAACAGTAAACAACAACAGCAATAGAAACCACCAAAGGACACCATATGAACACAGCCAAAATGACTTATTAGAGCATGCACATCTTTGTCATTTCAATGGATTTTTAAAAATATGTACATGCCGCCTTTTCTTCCATGTTTCTTGAACTTTTCCCTTAATGAGGAAAACTATTGAATACTATAAAAGCTGTTCAGCGTATTATTTTTTTCAGATTAACATTTAATAGACTTTAACTAAAAGTTTTAGATTGTGAGCAGGACAGCACACTGGTTCTCCCGCAGCATGTTTGTTCATCATTTCTATCTTAATGTGTTGATCATTTTCTTTTGTGTTTCTGTATTGTGTGAAGGTCAACCAGTCCACAGTTTATGCTGCTATAATATTTATTCAGTTTTATTCATAAACTATGTACAATATATACACTGTGCTCACGTCAGCTCCAGGTCTCTTGGATGAAGGTCTCTCAGTGACGTGGTCTCTTCTGGTCGCCGTGCGTCTCTGATGAAGATGGGGAGCGGGATCGTTTCCCTCCGGCATACCAGACTGAAGTCTCCGCACCTGCTAAGGAAGAGGAGGACAGCGGCTTGGTCTGGCAGAAGGACGGCCTCTTTTTCTTCTCAGCAGCATAGGCCTCACTGAACAGATCGAGCGCAAACACACACAAGCAGACATAATGTGAGATTTTCACAAACAATAGAACATGCTGCAATGCCAAGTACAGTTTACTCACGCGTCTATGATGGGAATGACGTATTTGCCGCTGCCGTCCATCATGACTCCCTTTCGGTTTGGGTCGTCCACCTCCAACAGGAAGCTGCGGGGAATCCCTGTGCTCCTCCTGATGCGCTTATGCGGAGCAAAGCTGCTGCCCTGTGAATTCATGAGTGACAGTCAAACGACAGAGCAAACAATCTGACTGATGGAGTCAAGAGCTCAAGTTCACAGCAACCATAAGCTTAGAAAACCCAGTTACCCCTTTAGAGGGGCAGTGCCTAATGTGGTGTCCTGGGATCCCACAGTGAAAGCAGACATAGTTGGGTGGAAGAAGCCCAAGTAGTGTCATGGCCTCACTGATGAACATCAGAACCATGAGAATCAGCTCTAACATTTCTCACAAACCAAACCTGTCAGTGTCTGAACGCTCACCTGCTGGAGTAGTAGCACAGACTGGACTGGTACATCACCGCTTTTAGCTTGTCCTCCTCTGATGCCTTTGCCTCAGCCAGATTCTCAGTCTGTTTCACAGGCATTTGCACATTAGAATTTTATTTCACTGATTTGCTCTAAATAAACACCCTCAAATCTCCCTAAGAAGCTGTGTGTTTGTGTGTGTGTGTGTGTGTGTGTGTGTGTGTGTGTGTGTGTGTGTGTGTTTGTGTGTATTGTTGTTTGCTAAACACTGTGTATTGATATTCTGCACTACATGTCATTATGACGCCTCAAATGCAAACACTGCAGTTCAATACAGAGCAGCACAGTGGGGTGAATTAATCATTTGTTCAATACCTTCAACAGCTGCTCCAGTGAGAGGAGTGAAGAATCACCTGTTTGAGAAGATTTAGCTGATGGTCCAGCTTGATGTCTGCAAAACAAAACAAAGGAGCTTGTGTGACCAAAACACCACAGACAGACTCAAACTCTTGATATAACATCTATCAGAGGACGATTGCGCTCATTTCACATAACTTACCCAACAAATCTTCTGTTGGAGGACTTCAGGCCAGCCGCAGGGACCCGTCTGATGATGACCGATGTGTTTTTGGGGATGAGAGCATCATCATCTATGTATTCTGACAGCAAAATAAAGTTTGAATATAGTAATAATCATTTACCATGGTATACTTTGAGTGCCATTAGCATTTTAAAACACTCAGAACATCACTATATGTCACCATCAGAGTCATGATAATAAATCACAGCTTCTACAAGTCTGTCTGATAACACATCTAATGTTAGTGTAATATAGTTTAAGTGGCTTTTCCTCATCTCACCTTCATCAGTTTGGGCTTTGCTGATCTTCAGCTGGCAGAACTTCAGCCTCTCGCGCCTCATGATCTGCCGCTTCAGCTCTCCCACAGTGATGTTGAGGCCCTCAAACTGGAGCGAGTCGTAGGTGAGTCGACTCTGAAACCTGTAATGAACACAAGACATACTGAACACAAACCACAGTGTGATAACAAGGGTCAAACCTGAATGATGGGAGAAGCAGACGATCAATCGATGTATCCAACAATCAATAATATCAATAATCTGGGAATCAGTTGCCACGAAGGACGCCGAGATCAGATGCCAATGACAGAGCGGAGTTCAAAACAACACAAAAAGAACCGTTGCCATGGATGCTGACGATCACGTGACGAGGCGCTGAAAAACTTTCGCGTTATTTTCTCATAAATAATAGTGAAATCATTACTATGATAATAATAAAATAAACAGCAGAACAGTTGGACATCTCTAAATAAAACACAGTGGCGTTTCCTTACACGAATGATTCTGGCCTTTGTAAAGAGTCGGGCGAGTCAATGAATCAGTGATTCGTGCTGAATGAATCACTCAAAGCTTCACTCGATTAAAGCGGTCTCTTGCTGCCACCTAGTGGCGATTTGTTTTTTCGTTTTTAAAGTAATTTAACACTTTTTTTTAAAGCTCCTTCAAATTTATTTTCTACAAAAGTTTATTTCCGTGTGTTAAAAATGATTTAAAACTCTCTAAGCTCATCATTTCTTTATGCGTTTATAATGTAAATCCCTTCATGTTTGCCTTCGATCTTCATTATGTGTTAAAATCAATAAAATATTAAAGTTGCCTCATCCAAATCCAAAGTTTAGTTCAAAGCTTTATTATACAGCAATGTGTGTGTGTGTGTGTGTGTGTGTGTGTGTGTGGGTGTGTGTGTGTGTGTGTGTGTGTGTGTGTGTGTGTGTGTGTGTGATTGTGGCAGTGGATTACAGTGAATGTAGAAGTGATCAGAAGTGTGTGATATTTATTGTTTCTGATAATCAAAAGAACATTTTAAGAGTCCAAAAGATTTACTGCCTGATGAAGCCTGTTATAATGCAGTTATGATGACCCTTTAAATCTAGAATGGTCAGAACAATAAAAAATTAGGGAAAGAGATTAAGTAGTATTTCTCCTCTTTTTTTGTATGTGTAAGTGCTCCTGGAAGAAAAAGTCTGCGTCTCTCTGTGTCACTCAGGCTGCACTGCAGTGTCTATTCTCAGGTGTGATCCCACTACTGATCAGCACGGGGGATTTGACCTGCTTCGTCTCCGACCTGGGCCGGTTCACCCCTCATTACACGTCCTGGTGGTCCCAAGCTCCCCCAAGAGCACCATATCGATACCGAGCTTAGTGTGGACACCTGATCAACATAGTCCACTGCAGCCCAGAAGCCCTGAGCTCAAGCAATCCGCAGCCTCAGCCTCCCAGTAGCTTGGATTACAGGCGCGCGCCACTGAACCCGGCGAGAGCTGAGAGAATCAGAGCTGTGGAGAATCTGATCATCACAGCGAACTCTAATAGAGAAAATGATAAATGATGAAGTAAAGTTGACTTTTTATTGGTCTTATGGCACTGTTTGGATAAAAATAAACAGCAGTACGGTCCCAAATAAAATATAGTTATTTAAACTAAATACTATAGTATTTTAGAACCACATAGTAAAGTTTATTGTACTGAATAGTTAATCACAATGTTGTGCTATTTAAAGGCAACTGTGGTGCAGAGTCGGGTTGGAAGAGACTCCAAGCATTTCTGTTTTCGTGAGGTTAAGCTGAAGATGAGGATCTTTCATCCAGTGTGAAATGTCCGACAGGCAGGCTGAGATGCGAGCTGGAACCGAGGGATCATCAGGGTGAAAAGAGAGGTATAGTTGGGTATCATCAGCATAGCAGTGGTAGGAGAATCCATGTTTCTGAATGACTGGTCCTACAGATGTCGTGTAGATGGAGAAGAGAAGTGGCCCAAGAACAGAGCCTTGAGGTACCCCAGTGTTTAGATGCTGTAGGTTGGACACTTTTCCCCTCCAAGACACCCTGAATGACCTGTCAGAGAGGTAAGATCTGAACCATTGAATAACAGTGCCTGCAACGCCCAGTGACTCATATATATTATATATATAATGATTAATACATATAGAAACAATATTTTCATAACTAAATTATTTATGATTTGCCGTTTAACAGCGAAACATCTCGTCAAATAGGCCACAGTTCATCAGGAAATGAAAAGCTTTTAAATGACAACAGAAAAGCAGTTCAGCGACTAACATTCACTCATTCAGTGAGTATCTCATTTATTCATTCATTCATTCACTAATTGAATCAACACTTTTTTAGTCACTAAATATGGTGTCAGATGCGGATGTGGCCTCTAGTGTAATCCACAGTTCATATATTGCACAATGACGCTAAAGGCCACCATATTATAAAATACTGCAGGTTGTTGGTTGCAGATTAATAATCACAAACATAATTTTTTAATCATAAAACAGCTAAAAACATATTTAGTGTCAGAGAGGACAAAGTGGTTTTAGTTTACCTTTTATCTTTAATATTAAACAGCTTTTTAGTCTTTAGACCAGATTAAATAACTTGTGGTACTTGTATAAACAATGTTCAGCTCAGGATCAGTAATTCAGCATGATGTGCTGCTAAAGCTGAAACAGTCTATCAATTTATGCCACAGATTGTGTGAGATTCTGTCGAGTCTTATAGATGTTAAAAACACTGATGGAGGTCAAAACCGCATCTGACACCACAGTTAGTGGATGAGTAAGAGTAAACTGAATAATAAATATGTAACTCAGTTAATGATAGTTATTCACTGCATGAATGAATGTTAGATGAGGAACTGGTATTTAAGTGGAAAATTAAAACATTAAAGCTTTACTTTTACAGAGGTTCACTGTTTGCACAATCTTAAATGGATAGTTCACCGCATGAATATGATTGTGACGATTATGAATTAACATTTTTGGGTCAATTATCCCTTAGCTCACATAAATTATCCCAGAGCATTATTTCAGCATCAATGATCATTCACAATAGTCACATCACAAGAAATACAAGTTCAAGAGTTCCCACTTAGATATGTTTGGCACTTATAGCAGGTTTGGCATGCTGTCCCGGGAGAGAACCCTGAGCTCGGAGATATTTGAGCCCAGGGCTCCCGCCCGGTCTAGAAGCATATCAGGAGAACCGAGATCAGGTAGGTCTCGATCGCTCCCCCTTTAGAAGGGGAGAAAAAGGAGGAGATGGGGTGGAAGGGGGGATTCTTCCAAAATGAAGATAGTGCAATGGGGAGAAAGTGATCCATTTATACTAAGCTAGGATCATTCTAATTGGATTATTACTGATTACGGATGAGTGGCCAGCGGTGCACAATCATATCACGTGCTCCTCTCGAAATTAGTTTATGAAACTTCACTTCAAGAGTTCCCACTTAGATATGCTTGGCACTTATAGCAGGTTTGGCATGCTGTCCCGGGAGAGAACCCTGAGCTCGGAGATATTTGAGCCCAGGGCTCCCGCCCGGTCTAGAAGCATATCAGGAGAACCGAGAGCAGGTAGGTCTCGATTGCTCCCCAAAAAAATGCCTCTAGCTCGGGACAGCAGCCGAGTATTTCAAAGAATTTCCCCCAAAAAGCTAGAAAGTTTTTACTATATCCGGCTGCTGGATATAGTTATTAAGGAATGAAGAAAGAGTAGGGGGCTCCAGTTGGAGCAAAGTTTGAAACTGACTCCTGTGGAAGTCAGAGCGGGGGAGGGGGTTGGGTGGAGACTAGTGAAGGGGGGCCATAAGGGGTGGGCGGGGTTGGCTCATTAAGAGTCAAAAATGCTCGAGGAACACTCCAAACAGAGATAGAGCAGGGAAGTGGCAGCGCTATATATAAATATATATGTATATATGAGAGAGTATATAAATATATATATATATATATATATATATATATATATATATATATATAAAATGGGATAATTTAAGGCCTGGAGGGGGTGATCAGGAGACTTCTGAGTCAGAATGGGTGCTGCGGGAGTTGGGTGCAGCAATTTTTTATTTTGCCATCTCTAGCAGAAATCGTGAAGTGTGATTTGGGCGGTGGAGATTTCTGCTAGAGGGTGAGTGGCAAGTTTGGCCAGACTCTTGCTGGAGTCGATGCTCGTGGAACACTCCGACTGGAGATGGAGCGGGGAGTGACAGCGCTCTATATAAATATATATCTATAAACGAAAGTCCATAGATATACATATATAATGAGTTTCAGTGGCCTGGGGGGGGGCAGTGACTGACCCCTGCGGGGATCGGCGCCCGGGGAACAGGGCAAGCTGGCCTACTCTAGCAGGAGTCTGGGAAAGGGGATTTGGACAGTGAAGACTCCTGTTAGAGGGTGACGGGATAAGTTAGGTGCTCGAGGAACACTCCGTTAGGAGATGGAGCGGGGGAGTGACAGCGCTATTATAAATATATATCTATGTACAGGTGTATATAGATATATATATATATATATATATATATATATATATATATATATATATATATATATATATATATATATATATATATATATATAAATAAAGATTGCTAAGGCCTGGAAGGGACGGTGAGACGACCCCTGCGGGGGTCGTAGCTCGGGGTAACACTTCTGCGGAAGTCAGAGCTTTAGGGGGGGGCGGGGTCCGGCAGGAGTCGGGAAATGGGAGGGGGCTGTGAAGACTCCAGCGGAAACGGCCAGGGTGGCGGGGTGACGGGGGGCTTGGATGAAACTCCAATTACCTATGTGGCTGGGGGAGGAAACTGAGTGTTACTCAGGCTAGAAGGAAGAAAAAGAAGAAGGTGGCTGGGTCACACCCTCGCCCTTGAGTGGATGTGGGATTATGGCTGACAAGAGCCATCTGGGCTTCTTTGGGGGGCCAGTGGCTAGGACGCATGTCTTGAAGGCATCAGGTGACCACCTTTCTAGGATCTGGATTTGTTGCTGCCCTTTGTACTTCTGTGATGGCTGCTCATATTCTGAAACATAGCATACAGGAATAAGAGAAGTAATTCAACACCTTTAATACTTTTCCCACACAATTAAAGACCTTATCACCATTTTCAATCAAAAAAGCTGGCGAGATTTATCTTACGGAA